TTTGTGGGAGTTCTCACTCTCCCTCCACCATGCAGGTTCCAGGAACTGAGTCCAGGCCACCCGGCTTGGCTGCAGGTACCTTTACCTGCTTAGCCATCCCCATGGCCCTAGACATAGCAAATTTTTGAGGGACATTGGTGATGCCTGGCAAATCCGTGGGGTACTTAAGGATTTTGGTGAGGCTCGCTGAATTAGAAAATCAGTTTCAACTTGTCAAACCAGCAAAGGAAGGCTCATTATTTCCCCAGCTTTCATTTCTAAACAATGCTAGTGTACTAAGGTCGGCTCCTGCTGGTTAAAAGACAAACCAAGTTCAGGCCCATCGCGTGCCCTCATAGACCATGCCCTTTGAGGATTATTGTAACTGGAAGCTAAAGAAAAAATGGACCATTTACACAGGAAAAGTCCATCTGAATAAAACCCAAAAAGCCTTGCTTTGTTCTCTGAGTGCTGCAGGGGCATTCACATTTAATCAAAACTGAAGACCACAGCATTTGCAAGAGAAGTCTCACATCTTATCTCGTTTTAGTGATTTCCTGTTAATTAGTTGATGCTGCACAGAAATCCTGAAATGCTCAAATAATTGGGAAGCAGAAATAAAAGCGGGACATTGTGATAGCTTATGGCAGAATTACGTTTGCTTCCTTGGTTTGGGGCAACTATGCTAGCAAGTAACCTGTAACCTACTTCTGAAGGCTACAAGGACATAATTATTTGGTTAATTTTCATACTTCAGTTTATGATCCTAATTAGTTCTCCAACTAGTGTTCCCTAGGCCATGTACGGTCCTACCTCAGCATGTTTGGGATTCTTGCTATTTGGAATCTCTTGTTTTCATCGAAGAGAAGAGATGAAAAACTTCATGGATGTCCCCTATTGCTATTTTTGTATACTGTCATGTGTTTTTGCTAGGAGACTTAGAATATCCTGTGACTTAGAACTCCAGAGGGAACACGGTGAAGTGCCTGGTACTTTGAAAGCAATTTCTTTTATTGGCATCATGAATGTGTTACAAATATAATGAACATAGTCAGGGCATCGTTGGGTTGTTTCCTGAGTAGATGGTGGAACAGTGGTGAGGTATGAAGGGCCAGACACCAGGAGTACCAACTCCAGTCACACTTACTGGGAAAAATTCTTTTCTAATTTTTTTCTTGTTATTTTATGTGTGTGTGTGTTTTTCTTTCATGTATGTCTGTGTATCGGGTGCATGCCTGGTGCTCACAGAGGCCAGAAGACAGCATCAGCTCCTCTAGATCTGAAGAACAGATGGTGGTTGTGAGCTGCCATGTAGGTGTTGGGAATCAAACCTGGGTCCTCTAGAAAAGCAGCCAATGTTCTTAATTGTTGAGCCATTTCTCAAGCCCTAAAATTTTGATTACATGTATATGTGTGTATGTATCAGCAGTTATGTGCATATGAGTGTACATGCCTGTAGAGACCAAAAGAGGCTGGTTGATCCCCCGAAGAAGGTGGGTGTGAGCCATCCGAGGTGTGAGAATGTTGGGACCAACTCTAGTTTTTTGCAAGAACAGCAAGTTCTCTTAAGGGCTCAGTCACCTCTCCAGCCCCAGACAAAATTCCTGTTGTGAGTTTACATTTCTGATAAAAACTACTAACCTTGAAGAACTGACCTAAGCCATTTTGCATATAAACACCTAATACTGTCTATATTAGTGGTACTCAGTAGACATATAATGTGGTCCACATATGAAAATTTGGTTATTTGTAGTGATGTATGTGTTCATATATATGTGTGCATGTTCATGTGGAGGTCACTAGTTGATGTCAGTCCTCTGTTGCTCAAAGCTTCTCACTGATCCTAGAGCTCACAGATTGGCTAGACAGGTTGTCCAGTAAGCACTGGAGCTCCACCTGTCTCTGCCACCCCTCCCATCTCCCCCTGGCCCTGACTAACCTCTACGGTTATAGTTGTGAGCCAGGGTGCCAGGCTTTTATGGGGTGCTGGGAATCTGAACTCGAGTCCTGACGCTTTCTTAGCAGGTACTATAAGGACAGAACCATCTTCCCAGCCCCTTCATATGGAATTTAAGTTTTTTTTGTAGTCTAAGTTACAAAGTAAAGTTAATTATAATTATATATTTTACTTACCATATGTGATGTTACTGTAATTCAATAGAAATTAATAGAAATTACTGCAATTTCCATAGAAATTATTATAAAACTTTGTAAGATTTTGAAGAAGTATAGTAATTTTGAAATCTATTTCGCCAGAACATTTCCATTTAGACTAATCATATTTTATTCACTTTTTTTTGTGTGCTAGGTACACCACCCACTGCTTCATGCTTTGGCCTTACCACACATCAACTATTTAGTAGCTGGATGTGGCCAATGACTACTGGATTGAACAGTGTATAGCTCTGGGTGCTCACTAAAGACTCATTCTAGAAAGAGTTGAAACCAGAGCTATCCAGACAGTGGGGTGGCTGTAGTGGAGAGGGAGGAGCATATACTCACTCTCCAAAGCTAAGTAGCTATGGGAAATCCATTAGCATAATGCCCTTGAGATCTTAGGGATCAGTAGTTTGCTGAATTTTAATGGCCATGGCTCTCATAGGGAAATGGCTTTCTTGCTATTCAAAATAGGGATTTGGCTCAAACAGTGCTGCAGAATTCAACCACAAAGACCAAATGAAGAGAAACACAAATGCATTCAGCTCCTATTTTTATCTAAACCTGGGCTTCTTATGTGAATAAGAGTCTGTGAGTGCACTGGGCTATGCAACATCTCCCAAACTGTATGCAATTTATTCACATGTTTTATAAGTCCCCTTGCTCCCCCTGCAAGAGAGAACCCATAGCGTCTATCAAATTCCAGAACGGGCCCTAGGAGCAGGCCAAGAGGGCTCGTCGAAATGTGTTAACAACAGCACGTGTTGTCTACATGGACTCCAGGGTTTCTCCGTGGAAGTTATAAAGTGTTTGCAGTCTTACCCCGAGACACCCCTGTATTTTCCCACCAGCTCAGAAAGGCTTGAACCGTGAGTCCCTTGGGAGCACGAGCTCACGTAAGAAATGGTAGATTCATGTTTTCCCGGCTTGGACTGACTCTGGGGCATCAATTAGTGAAATGCTTGCAGTTCTTGGTTGAGAGCGCAGGATGGATACATGGAAGTTCACTGTTCACATGCTTTACTACTTGTCCCTGAGTACGAGCCTCTAAGAGATGTGGGCCAGGTGCTGAGTACAGAATTCGCGCTTGGCTATTAATGAGCTACCTTGTATCTCTCAGTTTCCTATTTCTTTCTGATCGACACTATCATGCTTTCTCTGTTTTGGCCCAGTTGTTATTCTTAGAGGAACTTCAGCCTGCAGTGTATCTAGGTTCAAGCACGAGGTGCAGTTGGAAATCTAGAATGGCAACTTTAAGGTGTTCTTACTAAGTGTGCAGGCTAAACCCTACATGTGGAGGTATTCCATAAATCCAGATGAGAAGTACCCCTATTTGCCTTTGACATGCTGTGACTACTTAGGTTCCCTCTGAAGTAGTCTCTTTGTTCATGGGCCATGCATGCAGCTCTTTAGTGAGAGGAAAGTTATTCTCTAAATAATAGTCGCTTGGACGCCTTTCTGTACTTTATAGCAATTTGAAACCCATCAGACAGGTGTTTGGGTTCACTAGAAGATGGGCGATCAGAATGCTAGGGCTTCAAGGCAGCTTGGCAGCTGTGGCTGTCACTACGTTAAAACTGCACTTGGGGACTGTTGGGACTTTGTGTCTCCACAGTGCACTTTGCAAAACTTGATTCACCTTCCAGAGCTGATTAGAATTATGTAGCAGAAGCTATTATCTGAGCAATGCCTGGTTCTAGAACAGGCAGCAACCAGATAGTTCACCGGTGAGGAACCGTTAGCTCAGTGTTTTATTTTCATGGAATTATTTCATTACAAGTGTGTTGTGGGATAGTTACACACCGTGTGAAGGTATACCGCTGTGATTGGTGTAATAAAAAGCTGAACAGTCAATAGGTAGGCAGGAGGTATAGGTGGGATTTCTGGGAAGAAAAAGGAAGAGGAGGAGGGCTCTAGGAGCACAGGAGACACCAGCGAGATGCAGAACAAGTTGAAGGTACAGAATGGAAGAAAGGTAAAAAGTCATGTGGTGTAGAATGTAGACTTTAAAATATGGGTTAACATGTGAGTGCTAGTTAGGAACAAGCCTATAGTATAGGCCAAGCTTTCATAATTAATAATAAGTCTCTGTGTTATTATTTGGGAGTTGGCTGGTAGGACAGAGAAAGACTGGCCACACAAGTGTAACCAGTAATTAGTTCTAAGATTCTAGACCCAAAGAAGGGATTTGGGCTCTAACAGGGTCTGTGTGGGGAAATCTGTCAGAGATGCCTAAAACACTTTGCAATTACAATCACTACTTCAGTTAAATCAGGAGTGAACCAGATGACTGGTGGGATGGCAAATAAAATGATGCCCTTCCTAATCTTATCTTGATTTTCATTTTTCAGAGGGCATATAGCAGAAATTGGTATAAACACTGTAGTTAGGGGACACTGGTAGCAAGTCCTTTACTCAGGACCTTGACAGTCACAATAGCCTAAAAGAAACCTGTTTCCAAGCCCAGCTACTTTAATGACCTTTGCTATACAGCCAGTGGACAGGTACGTCTCAGAGATGGAAAGTCGGACCAGATGTTTTCCAGAATGGGCAGAGAGTAGTGTTTGAGGAAAATACAAAGCCTTGTAAACACAATCCTCGCTGAGATGCTTGCCCACAAGCTTTCCTATTTGTAGGATACTGGGCTAGGTGGAAGCATCTTGGGAGGCAGGCTGTCAAGGCCCGGGAATATAGAGTATATTTTATTCCCTACTCTTTGCCACCAGACGTTTTTACATCTGTCACCTGGCTCTAGGCTGGATGAAGGAATCACGTGGCTTGAAAGACTCAAGAAGCAGAAAGTGAGGCAACTAAGAAGGAATTGAGATTAACACCGTAAAATAAGCACGCGTGCCAGACATATCAAATAGAAAATAATAATTTATTTTAACTTCATTTTACTTGATGTTTGTAACTAATCATGATTCTGTGAACTTGCTTGGTTAGGTCTGTCCCGTCCAATCTACAAAGCGAAAGTCTACAACGATGAGCACTTAAAACTCCACAAACTGTCTCCGTCCACGACTTCCCTGTACATGCAAATTCTTCCAACAGGCGGCAATATTTGCAAACATGCTTTAAGCGTCCATAAAGCTGCAGGAAATTTTGCTTTCTGTTAAAACCTTGACACTCTCCTTGGGAACCTTAACCAGAAAAATGTCAGAAATGGATATCCCAACTGGAAACATTGCCAGTTTGGTTTTGTGTGTGTGTGTGTGTGTGTGTGTGTGTGTGTGCGTGCGTGTGCGTGAAATCGCCAACCAGGCTTTGGCGGGTTCTCATTAAAACCACAACTGATATAAGATGTATGAATGACTGGTGACTTGTATGAAAGCCATTTCAGCGAAGTGACATTACAAAATAGGGTCCCATTAAAAATACATACTTGGCAGTTGCATTTTGTGTTTTAGGCAGAAAAAAAGCGTGTTTAACCTTCTTTTATATGAATATAGTTTAAACAAATTATTCTGTGAAAGTATGCTTAATAAAAGATCTTCTGGAAATTTAAACTTTATGAAAAAGGTTAACAAGTAAAAAATTACCATTGCTATTTGAAAACAAGCTGTTTGTTAATATTGCCTTCTAAGAGAGTAAGGGTGTATCTTCCCTTCACTGAAAACAGAGGCAGGACACCCAAAGTTGTAGGAGTGGCAAATTTAGACTATCAACATGATGGCCGGGCTTATATATATACAAAAACTTGCCGCATTGAACGAGGCAGGGATGTCTACCCCAACGGTAGTGGTCTCTCGTCTGTACACAGTGAGAGTTAAACAGTAGTCACCGACAGGAAGGAATTGTATACCCTAGTGCCGTCTGGCGATTTTGTGCCATGGGTTAAGAGTTCTTGGATGGTCATCCAATTGTCAAAGATCTTTTTGTTCCTCTTCTTCATCATCTTTTTGTGGCTCAGTTCCAGGATGTTCATCTCCTTCCTGTCTTCAGCCGCCTGCTGCTCCTTCAGACAATCCAGCCTGCTCTGCATCATAAACTCGCGCCTCCGCCTCTGCTCCTTGGCCTTCACCAGATGCTGTTTGCGCTCCTCCTTGCTCCAGTAGCGCCCCATCTTCATCTCACTCATGGCGTCATCATCCGTGGTCAGGCCGCTGCGTTCCTCGCGGATCTTCAGTGCACGCTCCCGCAGCAGCCGGTCACGCACTGGCCTTTTGGTGATGTAGCGTGTCCCATCGCTGCGGATCTTCACTTTCCACTCCATCCTGGGTTCCGACGAGTTAGAGGAGTTCAAGTCCTTGCACATGCTCACCAGGCTCATCTGGCTTTGCGCATACTCCACCGCCGACTTCTGCTGGATCAGGTGCATGTAGCTCTGGTAGTGCTGGGCGTGCGCTGGGATGTGGGCGTGCTTGTATGGGGAGTGGTGGTATGAGGGCAGGTAGGCACTGCCCAGCTTTGGGCTGGCAGTGGGGCTCCTGCTGCCATCACTAACTCGGTGCTCTTTGCTTTCCAAGGCCTGGCTGGGGTCCAGCTCTTTGGCGCTGGGGCTGTAGTTTGGGGTGCTTACTTCAGGATCCTCAGTGATGGCGAGCAGATTCTTGGGAGACGGCCTATAGCCTTCGATGTTAGCTGTGGCCCCTTCGCTACTTCCCTCGGCCATTCTTCTCAGGGAGTTGTCTGGGGAGATCTCCAGCGTGAGTGGGGTACTGCGGCAGCTCTCCCCAGTGTTGTAGGCGCTCGAGCTATCCTTGTCTGACTTCTCGGGCAGCTCGGTGATGTCCGAGAGCTCATGGCGGCGCACATCCACGCTGGTGTTGTAGTTGCGGAAGCCACTGTGGTGCAGCATCCAGGACTCGCGGTACTGTTCCTTAAGCTGCTGCATCTTGTGCGCACGCACGATGCTCAGGCACTCCAGCTCGATGCTGCGCAGCTCCTCGTTGAGTAGCTCCAGCTCCTTGTCCACACTTTCAGGGTCGCTCTTGCCAGCAGCGTCCAGAGGGCTGCTGGGGTAGTACAGGCTGTAGGGACTGCTGCTCTGCACCTGGCACTTAAGCTCCAGCAGCTCGCGAAAACGCTCACACTCATCTACTGGGATGCCCAGGTAGTCCACATCGGTACAGTCTGCAGAGATGAACGATTCATTGCTGAAAGGCAGGTCGCCACTGCCTAGGGTGTCCTGGCTACAGGTCAGCTTCCTCTGGCCCGCCAGCGGGTTGGAGGACGCCGTGGCGTCTTCACCATTGTTCTCCTGTTCCGAGCTCTCATCGTTGCGGGTGCTCTCATCTGTCCGCCCCACACCGCTGTCTTTCTCGTGCTGGTTGGATAAGATGGTGGCTGTGTCTGTGGTTCCACCATCTTCCTCATGCTTCTTCTGTATCAGAGAAAAATGACAAGAATAATGGGTTTATGGGGACGGAACTCTGGGGGAGGGGGACAGGTAACCTGTATGACCTTTATGTGTAGAACAGGAGTTTTGAATGGAGTTCTAAGTTCCTAAGATTGGCGTGCAGCACTGCAGTGGCCTGGGGCACAGGAAATGGTCAGCCCTAACTCTATGCATCTGGGCAGGTCCCTAATTCTCATTTTTTTCAATATATAAAATGGGGTAGATAATGTTATCCCAACAACTAACTAAGAAAGGAACCAGTATGCAGGAAGAATGCATAAGCACTCCTAAGAGACTCAACAAGTGGGTAATTAGGACTCTGACAGTGGCACAGGAGGGAGCTGCAGGGCTCTGAGCAGCTCAGGTTAATCACAGAATTGCTTTACTTTCAAAGGCGTGACTTCATTTTCTCTGATCTCAGTAAACACCGATGCCTATGTTTTCCTGGGGAGCACCAGACTAGTGGCATCAATATCTCTGCTTTGTTTGCTTGCTTTTTTTTTTTCAGCTATAAAAGCTTCATAATCTAGGTGAGGTGGTACGGGCCTGCAATCCCAGCACTTGGGAGCTTGAGTGGGGAGTGGGGAACTATGTCATGATTTCCAGGGAAGAGCTTGGTGAGGGCACCCATCCGCTGGCATTCCCTTCATGCTCAAGCAGTAGAGCTTTTCTGATGGCCTTCACCATGGTGGAGGGTGCGAGCGCTCCTCGGCGGCGGTGGTATGGGGCTGCCCCAGGTTTTACCTGCTGGAGCACACTGGCTGTGAACTGCATGGCCTGGTGATGCTGCTCCTCAAGCATGTCCATGTGTAAGTCATCCAGAAAGTCGTTCCTGTCATCATCCATCCAGCCCTCGTCCAGCTAGAAGGATGGCCAACACATGGGAGATCGTGGAACAGAAGAAAGCAAACTGATCCATCCCTCTGCTTCATGACTGAATACCCTGCAGAGAGCCGCTTCATACCCTGCTTGGCCTTCCCTGCCAGGCTGGCCCATTCCCTTAAACTGAGTCAGAATAAGCCCTTCCTGCCTGAAGTTGCTTTGGACAGTTATATTGCCACAGCAGGGAGAAAAGTAACTGGGTTAATATACCATGGAAGAAGCTTTCTTTCAAGGAGGGACATTGCATTCAAAAAGAGGCACTGTAGGGCTCTCTCCAGGAGTCACCAAATGCAGGTACTCTACAGCAGCGGTTCTCAACCTTCCTAATGCTGTGACCCTTTTTAATACAGTTCCTCATGCTGTGGTGACCCCCGCAACCATAAAGTCATTTCATTGCTATTTCATAACTGTAATTTTGCTACTGTCATGATTGTAAGGTAAATATCTGATACGCAACTTCCAAAGGCGTAGCGACCCACAGGTTGAGAACCTCTGCTCTATCCCCTTGAATACAACTTCTGTCTCAGCTGGAGACCCCTAAGCCTACACCACACTGAGGAAGCTTCCAATACCCCTCCCTGCCTTGCTACTCTGTATTCAGACTCGCTGGCTAATGCCTTTAGTTACTCTTTGAAAGACTCAATTCCTTTCATTTTGATTTCCCTGTGCTAATCAGTGGGGCTTAGCTCCAGGCTGGAAGGGGCATCTGTAAATCCTGCCATGATTCCTTCATTAGTCAGACTGTGATGGGTCCCAGCAAGGTGGTTAAACCTTTGGCTGGAACCCAAATCACAGCAAGCTCAGCTACCTTCCAGGTGGCAAACACCTTTAAGCTCAGATGCGATACTCTGACATTGCTCTGCAAGGTTTGGCAGTGTGGCTTTGACTACAGAAATCCACCTATTTTCTTCATAGGACATCGACTTACCTGGAGTTCAGGCCTTGCAATCAGCAACGAGAAGTTCTTGTTTTCTTCACTGGTTAGGAGAGCCACAGCCTCTTCGCGGTTCTGTACTTCTATCCCATTGATCTAGAAAGCACGAGGACAGGCGGGGACAGGTAGAAAGGGACATGACTGGGTGGCGTGGAAGCTTCAGAACTGCAGCTGCCACCACACACAGTCATAACATGGAGACTCCGTGTAGCTTTTCCAGAACGCCGATTTTAGGAGAGAAAGGCCTTGCTTAGCTGGAGGCGCCAGATGATCCAGAAAAGCCCTGCTGCTCAGGACGCACCTGAATTCTGAGCCCTAGAATCTCACTTGGGCAGGAGGATAGATAAGAAATAGAAGACAGACATTTCCTATTTATGAGAGGGGAGAAAAGCATGAGGAGTAGACAGCAGAGAAGGGAATGGCTGTACACAGGGACTGCTCATGTCTTGTTTAATGGGCTGGACGGAGAGTCAAGCGGGAATGCCTCTCTCACCTTCACACTGACAACAACAAGGTTGTCTGCTTGCATGTCTCAGCAACTTTGAATTCTGCAAATTTTAGTTCCTGGGCTGATATTCCCCCAGGGATACCATAGCAGTCCTACTGACCCGGAAACTGAGCCCTTCATCTGACTTTGCCACTTTATGTCAAAGAACCAAGAGGCGGCAAAGCTGAGACATGAATGGTTGTCGTTACCCAGTTTGACTACACAGTGAATACAGGGAGGGTATGTCTGCAGCCTGGGCAGGTCTCTCTCTAGGGCACCCTGCACTGCTTCCATTTCCTGTTCTCAACTGTAAATGGTTCAGAGAAAACTGTAGCAACACAAGTGTGCTGAGGACTAGGGCCCTAGGGTGTGGAGGTCTGGGTCTCTTTCCTAGGGAAACTCAGCTGTCAAGGCTCTGGGTAAAGGCCGGAGAAACAGAACACAGAGTGGGGGTAGGAAACCAAAATTGTACGAAGTGGCATAATGATATGAGAAAAAGAAATTAGTAGACTATAAATATGAAGAGGTAGAAAGCAAAGCCTGTGGGACACAATAAAACCAAGGCTCTGTGACCCCCACAAAGAACTATGGGGTCACATATGTAGCTCAGAGGATAGAACGCTTGCTTAGCATGAATGAAGTCCTGAGTTCCATCCCCAGCACCATGTTAGACCGGGTGTGCAAGAATTAAAGGCAGGAGGATAAGAAGTTTAGAGTCATCTTTACGTAGTGAGTTTGATACCAACCTGGTACATGAGCCTCCTCCCACTTCCCCCAAAAAAAGATTATAGCTGAAAGAAGTAAGCCGTCTAATTTTGCCTACATGAAATAACAGGATTCAAGGTAGATGCCATCCTTAGACCTGAGTTCACAGGACAAGTAGATGTTGAATTTTGGAAGCTTAGATTTCTCAGAGGTATTTGATTCAAAATATGGGACCGCTGGATCTGTTCTCATTGCTCTTCACATGTGATTGGCCAAGTAGTCTCATTCACACACCACACAGGGTTGTGTCAGGGTATAGTTGAATTCCAGATGCCTGTCCTTAAGCCTCTCCTGTATTTCCAACCTCAGGCTACTCCGGGAACTCACTTGTGTGCTGAAGACATGCATCCGCAGCAAGGGAACCTACCTGGATGATGCGGTCTCCTTCACGGATGCGGCCATCCTTGGCTGCGATGCTGTTAGGGTCAATCTGAAACACACAGTGGACACCTGAGCGTGAACACAAGCACTCTTTGACATACCGTCACACCCATCCCTGCCTTTCTGTGTTACATGGATTTACATGTGGGACTTAGCATGGTGCACAGGGAGAAATGGACTAATCTGTCCCAAGACTGTCCCAGGGCCTCTCAGAACCCTGCCTGACAGTACTGCAGCAGAGAACTTGTCTCAGAGCTGCAGACCTGAGCTGGTGAAGAGGCAAAGGTGACTCTTGTGGGACACAGAGTAATTAGAAGCAAGTCAGTGGCAGGGAGTAGGTGAAAGGGCAGCACTCTCCGGTATAGCATCCTGTAGCCGTACTTTGCCTACTTTGGTGGTTTTACACTACATCTTTGCTATTAAATATTGGAAGATAGCTTTAAAAGTGAAATGTGTAATTGGGGCAAGTGGGACTGAGGATGTTTTAGGATCAGCCCTAAACCATGCTGATGTGACGCGCAAAGCTTGGTAGGTGGTGCTTGGCCAGTGAGTTCACTGTGAAGTCCATGGCAGACACAGCTCTTGGCTCAGCCCATGGAGACAGATTTAATTTCTTTAGAAAATTGTGTTTCTGCAATTACAAGGAAGGATGCATGCATAGGAAAGTATTCATATTGAAATCAATTTCTCTATTCTCTTCTAGAATGATCACTGCTTCTTTCATTTATGTACTTTGATAAGTCCACATTAAGTTATGTGCAATATATATGAACTCAACTGTGTATACTATGAAAGGGAGGCGGGAGAGAGACTTTAAAATATATAAACCATTCTGCCTACCATTGCACTGGAGTTGGGAAATGGGAGGCTGCTCTTCCCTCGGGGGTGAGCACACAGACCATGTAAACGACTCCATTTTATGGTTGGTTTGCGGCTTCTCAAGGGTAATTTTGCCTTATGTACCAACATTAGAACTTAACCTCTGCATAAAGATGGGACTCTGTGAAGTGTGATGAAGAGGGGCATGTGTGCTGTATCTTTCTGAAGATATTCTTGAGGAGCTAGGTCTAGGGTGTGTCAACAAATACAAAAACCAAACCAAAACAAAAAGCAAAAGCAAAAACCCAATCCTTTTGATTTTGAGAGGCTAATTTTCAAACCTTCGCATCCGTACCTCACTTATATAAATCCCAATGTCATCTTCATCATCCGTCCGGTAGCATACGGTGAGGCCCAGCTTGTCCTGGCTGTTCATCCTGTAGAGGCCCACTTCCTAGACAAAGAAAACCTTCTCTGTGAGACTCCAGCAGGCGAGGAGAGCTGGGAGCATGTCAAATGCTCTGAAAATATTTGGTTTAAATGATGAACTGGATTTCTTTGCATTCAACTGTGCAGAGCCAGTTAACTTACTGAACAAAAAGTGATTATGGACATGGGATCAATGCCCTGGGCATTTCTGACCTCTCAGTCAATATAAAGTCATTTTGAAAATAGTTATTTTATTGATCCTCCCCAAGAAAAATTACCCATATTTCAGTCAGCGTCAAGACCTCAGGGGTAGGGCTTTTAAAAAGCATTCTTTCAATGTCTGCCACAAACAATAATATTTCCCCGCTCTGAACGCTCCAGCCACTTTGGTACAAATGTTTCCAGCAGGTTGGGTTAGATTATCTCATGCTGCGCCCCTTAATATGCACAGGCGCAGAACTCGCAAACAGATTACGCATAAATTGATCCAAGAAAGCAGGGTAACGTGATAGTGTGCAATTAATGCCTTCCACAACAGCTGTGATATTTACAGTCGAAAATTAGTTTCAGCCACTGTTCCTGCAAATTAAATGAGATAAAAAGCAAACTGAACCCAACACGGGGACATACGATGACAGGCAACGTTATTGTTTGTGCCAATTAGTCTGCACTTCGGGATGAAGTCAGAACTGTGAAGGTTTTGGGAGTTCCGCGAGGATGCTTCAGGTTGTCTGTGAGTGTTTACAAGTCTACTCACCCTGCCACTCACTCTGCCAGTGACTCACGTGGGGTTTGTGCAGCCCCAAGCTGTGGGTCAGTTTGAGGGACTACCTGCTCATAAGTTGTCCAGCTAACTCTTTAGTCTGATTTTTTATGGATTTTGCTGTATAACCAGGAGGAGGGAAGGGCTCTGAGATGAGGTCTTCAGGCTACTCTGACAGAGCCACTTGCAAGTGGTATCTCTAGAGACACTTCCTGGCATGTGGGAAGGGCATGGCAGTCTTGGTGGAGACAGCCGTCCCTTGTGAAAGACAAGGTGGCTAACATCACTGGTACCTGCAAAGTAGAAGAACAGGGCATATAAAGACTCTGCACCAGTGTGGTCAAAGTCTTATAAATGGGGAAGAAAGAAGCAAGGTGTATGTGGACGTGGGGCTAGGCCAGAACAGGTGGCACTCCATAGGCCTGCGTGAGGAGCTTCGCTTTGGGTTTAGGTGGACATTGCCCTGCTCTGATGGACTTCTCCCTGGCTGATCTGTCTCATATAAAATAGTTATGAAGGCATACACACATGCACACACACACGCACACACACACACACACACGCACGCACGCGCGCACACACACACACAATCCCTAGTCTACCTTCAGCTAGAGGCTTTATCATGGGCTTGTTGATTTGCCTAAGCCTTTATTTGCTTACTAGCACATGGGGGACAGGGAGATGAGGCTCCCAGCACTGGGCCTGAGTGGCAGTTTAATAGTTGTGTTTGGGTCACAACAAGTAACCAGTGGTTACCACAAGCTGTTTGTGCTTGTTGAACAGCCCTCCTTAATAAGATGCTGTGAGCTTATTTTCTCATCACTGATATGTTAATTAATTCAGTGGCTTCCTAATGATAGCTCTAACAATATGGTAAATTCTCATTAAACGAAACTCTTAATTTCTGATGCTTTAGTTGTATTAGATGAAAATTTCCTCCCTCATCTGCGAGTATGTGAGTTAGACTGATTTTAAGGGGTGTATTTCATCATGACAGTAATCTCCAGACTCTTTGGAATAACTAGTTGTTACCCAACCAATGTAAGTGACACATCACACATCTGTGTTTCAAACACCTCTCAGGCATCCTCATTGGGTTGTAGTCTGTCTGAGACAGTGCTAAGGGACAGTCTTCCTTGGACAGTCCAGAGTTCTGCCACTGAGCCTTGGGCTCTTACTTGCAGGACACATTTGGTTCTGGAACAGGTTGAACAGAAAGCAAGACCATATGGAAAACTGGAGGGAGACAAAGAGAGCCATAACTGATGTAGAAATTCCTCTTCCAGTAGGATTCTGTATGACTTCTAAGATGACAGTCTCTTAAACTAGTGAATATGCCACAGCCCTGGTGTGCTTTATTCCAACCCTCCTTGAACTATAATTCATGGTCTGAACGAAGAACTCATAGAAGTTGAGGGAGGTGTGTAGAAAGTTCTCTGACATTTCCTGATAACCAAAGGCATGGCTGTTTATCTGAAGGTGGTGTAGGCCAGCTGCCCACAGGATGAGTTAAATACCCCTGCATCAGTCAGTCACAGACCAACAATGAGGCTGCACAGCTTGCTCTGGGGATCTTTGATCACAGCCAGGCACGACTCTGTGACACACACTCTGAATGGCATATGAGACCAGGAAGATCTTTGGAAATCATATCACAGATAGGAACTATGTGGTGGATTAGTGGTTTTGGGGTAGGAAAAAAGAAAAAGGATGGTTGGTCCTCTATTACAGAGAAAAGGGTTCTCTTTCTCTCTCCAGGTACCAAATATGTCAGTATCTAATATCATGGTTTGGATAAATACTTATCATGAAAAGCACCTCTTTACTTTCGGGCCAGAGTTTTAATTGTCAAAATTAGGAGAGTATTATACTAAGAGATTTTAGTTCATATTCCTGCTAGTGTGATTTTGCTTTTTCTTGTCCCTATAAATTTGTATGCTCAACTTTTCATAAGGAGGGGGAAATTTTTAGCACAGAATTTCACCCTGCAATGGAAGATATCTTAAAAGTGCTGAAGAGATGGCCCAGTGGGCAAAGTGCTTGCTAGGGAAGAATGAGGACCTGCGTTCAGAGCCCAGCACCACCTAAAAGCTGGGTGTGTTTTAAACCGTATAGCACCAGGGTGGCAGAGATAGGTGGAAGGTGGACCTGAAAGCTTGCTGGCTAGCTGGTCTAGCTGAAGGAGTGACTTCCTTAAAAAAAAAAAAATAAGTTGTTCTAGAGAAAACACCAGAAACTGACCTCTGACCTCTACACAGGAGTACACATACTCAGAAAATACCTGAAAAAAATTTACAGTATTTTCTATTACAGAGAAAAGGGTTCTCTTTCTCTCTCCAGGTACCAAATATGTCAGTATCTAATATCATGGTTTGGACACATTTTTATCAGAGTCCCTGATAATTAACTCAAAGCCCACTCATGCATGTGTACTCAAACACTCGGTGTGTTGCCGTTAGCCTGACTTTCAGTGAACAAGCTGGGGTTGGCTCTACTTTCCCTGAAATGCAGCAACATTGCAAAGCTCTTGAGTTGAACCCTGACATAATGTGGCCACATGGAAGACTTCACAGCTGACCCTATGGGTTTGTTCATGATTGAAGTACAAGTGGGTTAAAAATGTCCTAAAATCACCTTTGAACTTTATGGATATGGCATATATGAAATACAAATGAGCTTTATGTTTAGACCTGTTTCCTAGCATCTTTACCCCATTGTTTACATGTAAATACTTCAAAATCTGAAACATTCCTTGTCCCAAGCATTTGGGATACAGGGTGCTTAGCCTGAAATAGATGCTACAATAGCCGCTGTTTCACAATTTGCATAGTAGAGAATAAGGTTCGCTTACAGTAGTTTCTCCCCGTCAGGGTAGTTTTAGAACACAGGGTCCCTCACAACAGCAGACTGAGGTAGAGATTAACGCCGTACTCAGCCTTTGAGCCCCGCTACCAATCCTCCTGGGACAGATTTTCATGGAGACGGACCTATTCTCAGTGTGGCAACTATCACTGAAAGGCTGTAAAGGCCACCCTCCTTCTTTCCCATAGATATGTGGTCCACCTGGCTCCAGCATGAGACACAGATCGTCAGTAAGGGGACAGCAGGGGAGGCACCTGCTCTAAATACTCTCCTTGATGTCTAAATTCTCTCTTCCACACCCACTTTAGTTGCCTATGAAACAAGACTTTACAACCTGATCTTTAAGGACAAGAATGGTAACATTATTCTTGTTGAAGATATTCTTGGTGATTTGTGGTAGTGGATGAGCCAGTGCTAGCAACATACATGGCAAGCAATAAACAAGAGCATCTGGAATTTAGGAATATGCTTGGCATTGGTGTTTAATCTCATGGGTTGGGCTAGAATAGTTCCTCACTTTATCTGGACACTCTTAGAAACTCTAGACAAAAGCCTATGGTAAAATTACCTTCTAGAAGGCACAGGACACAGTTTAACCTCAACTGCTATTTCTCCAGAATGGATCTCCAGTCCAGAGAAGAGGCTGTGGCTAAGCCAGAGTGACCTTAACAGGTTTTTGATGATCTTGAGAAAAGGAAGAATAAGATCTCCACTGTCTTTGGATCTGCATAGATTCCTGTTTTACCTTGACTTGAAGATGACAGGAAGGCATTCATAGCTAAATAATGGATTATACAACGTCAGCAACACCCAGCCTTGCCATGAAGGCATGGTATGTTCTTGATTAAATTAAACAAGCTTGAGATTTTAAGGGAGAAGGAAGATCTAATGAAAACACAAGCTTGGCTTGGCCACCAACAAACATGTCAAGTTCTCTTGAACAATCCTTTTCAGCCACTTGACTCTTGGTCAATGAGACCTGGGGAAAGTAAAACACCCTCAAAGTTACTGGGCAGCTGGTCAGTTTTCAACCTTGACTTCTGCCTCTGAGGCAGCCTAGCCTCATTGGGCTCAAAGCTGAAGGCATAGGGGTTATCAATACACAGCTGTTGAGATGATGGAGATAGGATTTCAAAGAAGACCATTAATCAAACAGATATGAATAATGTATCAGCATTAGCTGGATTACACCAGCCCCATCTCTGGTATCCTGTTGCATACTGGTCTAGATGGACTATTTGATAAAAATGAGGGCTGAGTCTGACATTTCAGATGAAACTTACATGGTATTCCAATTAACAGTATTAAGAGGGCCACACCACCCTCATGACTCAAGGTCTTTGTTTCAGCCTCAGGGAATTAAATTGGAAGATACCCTAAACTTAACTCAAATGCTTTATGCCTTTCTGAGAAGCCCAGTCACTTCTTCATAATTCTCCACGTTCCTGGACCAGGCTGGCCGACAGTTATCTAAACTGTTCCTGTATATATTCATGGTGTTTCATGGGAGGCAGCCATGTCTCTAACAAGATCACGGTTTTCCTGAAGACCTCACATCAAAATATTCATCCCTCCCTTCAATAAAGATTTAGGTGCCAAAATATTGGACACAGACTACTCCAGACACCATCTGGGAATGAGCAATGGAACAGCCCACTCTCACGTGGAGCTCGTACTCTAGTGGGGTCATCAGACAAGAAGCAGATGATGGTGCTGTTGGACCACAGTATAACCCAGAAAACTTCTCTCAGAGGTGCAATGCTAGGCAAGACTGAATTCTGATATCTCAAGGGCCTGGTTTTAGGTGGCCATGCATACAAAACAAGAATCTTGAAGATCCTTGTGATATTTGGAAAGGCTGACTCAGCCAGAACAGGGCATGCCAGATTCCTTAAATGAGCGCCCACCTTTTGTTTCACAGCTTTAACGGGAAAATTCTAGATTGGTTACAGTTTCCCGTGGCACTCCCTGGACATCCCAATTCCCATCTGGTCTACTTCCCGCTATTCTGAGAAGTCAGAATCATTCAGACATCCTCCCTCCCTCATCAAACCCATAGCTGGCCTTTCCTTCCCGGTCTCTTAAGGACAACGTCAAAACAATGCAGGTGACAGCACTTTCCCAGACTGGGTAGGATGCTACTGCAGAATCACAGGGGAAATTAAAACAATAGAGTATGGGGGGAAAAGCTTCATCAGACATCTATTTTCTTTTTTAATTGCCTGCAGGAAGACCTGGAGCAGGTGTTCTGTACCTGAAAATTCAGGGGCAATTATTCGGTAGCTCAACTCTGGGGTGTACTTGGGAATAAGCCCTTTAACGCTAAGCAATTTCACAATAACAGGGATTTGACACTTACCTAAATATGATCATTTTGTGTACTTTAGAAGCAAGAACATCTGTTTTCCCCTCTGCATTGGCTCTGATAACATCCCCACACACTCGTATATATTTTCCTCACACATAGCAGGCATGGACCGGTTGTTCTTTTATCTCATTCAACTTGGGCGATGAGCATTACACTGCGAACGGGCTTTCCACTTGGAAGGCAAACCTGATCTCTCTGATATCAGATCCCACACCTGGAACAAGACAGGTGGGGACCTAGCAGAGACGCTGTCAGCAGGTCTAAGAAATCCTAGGAGGAAGAGACGGTGCTTGCGGTGCTTGCGTATCTTTCTGAAAAGGAGGCCTGCCGTAGTAAATTCAGATCTGAGCAGGGGGTTGTTTATTGACCCCTTAAACTGACAACAAAGCTTGTCTTGGTATCCTTCTAAGATACACCCTGGCCACAGATTAGAGGTCCAGCCATTGTTCTCCAGTGAACCCCAGTGAGACCCTGAATGTTTTCCTATCTCTTAGGCTGTAAGAGAACACCTGGGACTAGCGACTTTATTCAGAACAGAGGTCTTCTTCTTGTACCTTATGGTTTGGGAGGTACAAAAGCATGCTGCTGGCATCTGCTGGGCTCTATCACAGCATGGCAAAGGGCACCATGGCAGAACCATGTTTGAGAGGGAGAGAACACGTGACAGAGTAGGAAGCAAGAGTCCACAGCCTAGGGGGCGGCTCTACTTTGTAACAATCCTCTCCCATTGAAACAGATGCATCCCTCCCCCCTCAAGGCTGTCTTTAATCCCTTTAAAGCAAAGCCCCCATGGCCTAATTACCACCCACCAGGCCCAGACCCTTAAAGGTTTGCCTAGTTCTTCACATGGCCGTTATGGAGACCAAGCCTCCAACACACAGGCTCCCTATCCAAACCTGGCCCTGTAGCTTTCATTACATTGTTGCTATCACCATTTCATGAAGTATCTTAGCTGCTTTTCTCGAAGTGAAAGGTATGAGACTGTAGTTCCTTTGAGTGGTGGTGGCCCCAGGTCCTGCTGGTCCACAGCGGCTGAGAAGGCTGCTGCACCCGTGGTTTTTGCTCATGGTAGTCTTCATCACTTAAGCACTGTCTCATACTCATATTTTTCAGGGACAAATACTAAGACGTGTTCAGACCTAGCTGTCAGTGAGCATTTTTATTGGCAGGTTCTATACGTTATTGACTTTCACTCTGTTCTGCAGTAAGAACTATGTAGCTCTCCAGGATGTAAAAAAGAGACAGCTGTCCTAGGCTTTCAAGCTGCTTCTATTGTGAAAGAAGCCATCACTGCTAAATAGTACCACTTCTTTAGCAGGGCAGTCTGGATTACACAGCAGGGGCCAGGAGAGTAGATGCAATGTAAATGGATAGATTTCCTCTGGCTGACTTTAACATGGGGCCAAAGGGCTTACCTGACAGTATCATCTGCTATCTTGACCCTGCTCTACAAAAATAGTTCCCATGTAAGCTTTGAAATTTTAGAAAAACATGTTGAAATTTGACACAATGATTTCCCAAAAATGTAAAGAAACACAAGAAAAAATTAATCTTCTATTTTTTTCATTTTTCCCAAAGAAAAAGTGAGAAGTAGAACTTGGTTGGCTACTTGGTGTCTAAGTATTTTAAAACTCAACATAGTACAATGGACACTGTAAACATCTAGACTCTCTGTCCACTATAATACTTGGGGAAAGCTGTGGATTTTTGTGATGTTGTCAAGATCATTTTAGGAAATGTCAAGCATCTGGGAGCAGCTCCTTTTTGTTGGGAGGTGGCTGCATTCAGTCATCCTATTTACCACCCTATTGTTGAGTATTGTTTTTGAGTAAAAAGTGGTGATCCAACAACAAGCATGGCCTGATAACCCAATAACCCTCAGGGTACAGTAGTGGCAAGCACACCTTGGCTGTAACCAACATCTCTTTAACTGGACTTAACACTCATTCAACAAGAGGGAAACTATGCCTGGTACTGGAAACCTGGCTAAGTACTCAGTGTGAGTGGAGTCATGGATTCTGAGGAGGACCTACAATTGCTATGCTATTCAACTAGTACAATCCCTGGTTTATTATATATCCTGACTATATTCTAAATATTTGTCCTTATGCCCACAGATAAGCATAGTCCTTACTCCTAATCAAGGGAACTTCTTTTTGCAACAGACAAAGCCCATTACAGAAAACCATAACCAATGCAGAGTTGTATAGTCTAGTCTCAACGGATGAATTTACAATAAAATCCCTGCACCTAACACTAAAGGGTTATTGTGGAAAAGGGGATGGAAAGATTGTAAGAGCCAGAGGAACAGGGAGTTTGCTGTGAGACTGAGCTTCCTAGCAACCTCAGAAGCTTAACTCATAAAGTCTCACTAATATGACTGCCAGAAAAGTAACTGAACAAGGACAATAACAATAGACATGATAAAGTGGGTGGAGGAAAGAACCTTGAGGCCTCAACCCTACATGAGAACTAGGGTCAAATAAGGAAGCTAGAGAGTTGGAGATTTGCCTTCCTTAGAGAAGATTTGTTATCCAATACCACGGGTCAGCCTTGAAAACATACCTACAAGTAACATGCTGCAGATCAAGCAGGTTGTATTTATGCATTTAGGAATACACACACACACACACACACACACACACACACACACACACACACACGTAACAACAATTAATGAAGAAAGAGGCCATTTGAAAGAGAGTAAGAAATAGGAAAGGGAAGAGAAGATGATGTGATTACATTATAACCTCAAAAAACAAAAAAAAAATTAAAGAGTGATGATCATGTGAACAACAGCAAGGTGAGAGGGCATGCAATATTTGCAGTGTGTGCAGGTTTCATGTAGGTTTATGTGTGTGTATGTGTGTGACTTGCCTGTGTATGCACATGTTGGACCATACATGTGTCACACGCCTTCTTCTGTTGTTTTCCACTTTATATTTTGAGGAAGAATTTCTTTGCTGAACCCTGAGCTCACTGATTCAGCTAAGCTTCCTGACCAGGGAGCCTCCAGGATCTACATAATCCTGCATCGTCTAGATTTAGGGCTACAGACACATGCCACCATACCCGGCCTTTATGTAGGTGCTGGGAATCCAAACTCAAGTACCCAAACTTATACAGCAAGCACTTTAACACTGAGCCACCTTCCCAGTCCCTAAGACCCCCTTTTGACAGTGTGCCCTGGAGCCCTGACTGTTAGGCTTTGTCCTGAATTAATAGAAGGAGGAAGAAGCTGAGCTGTGCCTTTAAAGTTGGTGGTGGGGGAGTTACTAAGAGGTTCAGATTTTGATAATTTCATTATTATCTAAACCACATTTACACTTGCAGAGAACGCTAGCTTTTTCTGAGTCTAATGGAGATTCGCTAAGAACGAGAAGCAGCAATGGTTCCTACCTCTAGCTCCAGCTCTTCCCTGTCCATGTCCTGATGGATGTCCCCCATGTAGTCATTCGGATCATAGTATTCATGGGATGAGGGGTGCCTGCAAAGAGACAGAAGGTTGTCAAGACCTTGATTCTTTGATAATTATCTGTTTTCTTGTCCCCAGCCATTGTTAGTACAGGATCCCCTCCGGATCCCTCTCCCTTCAGGTGTGGCTCTCAACATTGCCATCCCGGTGCTAATTTGAAACCGTATGTAAGCTCATACAGACAGGAACATATTTCTGTAGAGAGTCTGCTGCCTTCATCAGAGCCGCAAAAGGTCTAGAAACTCAAAACAAAAGAACCAAGGAAGCCATTACTTTGGTGAAGATTAACTTCCTCTGGAAATGCGAAGGTGCAGATTAGTGTATACCTTGTTATTTCCAGTCTCTCCCTTAGCCTGCCCTCATCGCTTCACCCTGAGTACAGCAACTGGTCTCTAGACTGAAGAGTGGTCCACTGTTTACTTTTAATCTTGATGGCAAAAGCTCAAATGTAAGCAACACTCAGATGTGTGCTGGTCTCTGAGACCAGTTTCAAGGGACATGATGGAAACTGCTGAGCCGTTTGCTGGGATGGTGGATTTCAGTTGTTTTGTGTTGATTCCCCCAGTGAGAAATATATTTGCCGTCACAGCTGTGTGCACATGTGTGTGAATTTACACCTCCTTGCAGGCGCCAGTACTCATGGGTGCTTGTGTAAGTGTGTGTATACATCCCTTATCCTACTTGAAAGCCAAGAACACTCATGTTTTTAGGACAACACATGTAACACACAGTTTGAGCCCGGCATCTCCTAGAAATGGTGTTAATGGAAACTCCAGGAACAAGAGCGATGGGAATTAAAGCACATTTGGCCAGTGGCTCTGGAGGGACTTGGAATTGCACACCAGATGCAGATAAACATTGCCCTTGGCTGGGGACCCAAAGCTGCACATTTTTGCAGGTCAGGTAGCAATCAAGGGGGCTCTGATAATCCCTGGCAACCACTTAGTTTTGAAACAATAGGTCAGACATAGATGGAAGGGCAGGCCGTTTCTTTCCAGCCCAATCAGGCAATATATACTGCCTGCACTTAAGGGGCTTTTAGACCTGAGGATCCTGTTGTAAGTTCTGGGCTTTCAGTCATCAACCCAACACCCCCCTTCAGCCCCCCCCAGCTCAACCCCAACATGCAGTCTTGCTGTTGCCTGACCTCTGGACTTTGTGACATTTCTCAAGTTCCCTCAAGGGGATAAGTCATGTCATGTTAGTTAAACTTAAGAGGAAATTAGGGGTTTGGCTTCTAAAAAGCCTGTCATTCTGACAGTTCAACATCTGAGAGTCTTAAAGGGCCCATCAATAACACGAGCACAAGTCTGGCCTGTAGTGTCAAGTAACTGGTTTTAAGGCCATGCTCGGGGAAAGGGCCAGATGCTTCCCAGGCTCAGCTGGACACGGCAGTGTCATGGCTGAGAGGTGAGATGGGGTCGCCCTGCCTTCCCACCAGAGTCACTGCAATATGCTGAGTAGACCTTCAGTCTACAGCACCCATTGTCTATAGGTGTTGCGGGAGCTCTTCCCGCTCCTTCGCCTTCATATAGGTGGACTAAGGAGCGCTGATCAGGTCCTTAGTCTACAACGCCTGATGTCTACAGCAGTGGTTCTCAACCCGTGGGTTGTGACCCCTTTGAGGGTTACATATTGGATATTCTGCAATCAGATATTTACATTATGAATCATAGCAGCAGAAAAATTACAGTTATGAAGTAGCAATGAAATAAGTTTATGGTTTTCGGTCACCACAACATGAGGAATGATATTAAGGGGTCACAGAATTAGGAAAGCTGGGAACCAATGCTGTCTAGGTAAATAAAGGAGCAGCGAGCAGGACCTCAGTCTGCAGAACCCTCTCTCTCCAGGCAAAGAAGGGAGGTGACAGTTCTTTGCAAGCCTGTACACTGTACGAATGGTGAGCGTTACATGAAGGTCCTGTCTCCTCCCTTTTCATGCTGTCAGCTGCACCAGAATTCACTCTTGTCAACTGGGGAATTAGCCCCGGTTGCGGATGACAGCTAACCACTAAACCCATGAGATGAAAGGCAAGCCTTTGTCTGCGAATTGACAGAACCACGGGAGATGTGTGCGTACTCCAGCTACCGGATGCCTAATGGAAATCCAACAGGTATGGCTCAGAGGCCTCCCTGCAAGAGCAGAAAACGCCTTTGAAATAATGCATCCAGACAATTACCTGAACCCCGATGGGGTCGAGATGGGAAAAGACAGGTGTACCTGTGTCAGCTAAACAACCTGTGCCCTCAGAGTGCATCGTTACGTGGGGAAAAAGGTACGTTTAGCTGGGCATCTTTCAGCCAGCGGTGTCGGTAGCTTTCTCACTCTTGAATTATTCCTGAATTACCAGTCACTGCCTCCACTTAATTGAAGGCTTACCCGATGACGAGACACACATTATTCTTATTTAATCCTATGAGACAGGTATGACTTACATCTGCATCTTAACACAGCACAGAAAAAAAAAAAAAACAAAAATAGGCTGACCCCGACTCCACAATAGACATTAGTTCGGGCAGCAAATCTACGTGACCTGAAGTCTCTGAACTGCTTCATGCTTTCTGTAGAAGGTAGAGTTGTGAAGAAAGGTATTACTGAGGTCTATTTGATCACAACTACTACGCAGTTGGCACATGGCAGTAATTATTTGTATGGGGTAGATCTGGGTTTTGTGCATGGATGCAGGGCTGAAATGACACCCAAGGAAGCAGAGTGCATAACCTCCAGGGCGCTTCCTATACTCAGCAGCTTACTTTGCTGTCTATTTTAAACGACTATCAGCATTCCTTCCAGTGGTAACTAGAAAATCTTCAAATTACCCTTTGCAGTGATTAAATTTTTATTCCGACACAACTTTTACAACAGTTGTAAGTAATTTTGTTCTTAGAATATAATTTGAATAACTCTGCTCCAGGGTTATAATAAAGTCATTAATATGTCAGAGCAGTTTTGAGCAGGACTCGATTTATTGCCTCTATAAACAATAAAGTTAAACACAGGCAACTTGGAGGAAAATTATAAGATGCATTCATTTCTTGCTCTCCATGGAAAGGAAGAAGCCAATTTTCCCAGAGTCTTTGGCTATATGCAGCAAGTTCGCAAGTCATGGCCAGGATACTTACTCTTCAGGCAGCAGGTAGGGATCCAGCACGGGTGGGCTGGGAGAAGACATCTTTGTCAGGGCCATGATGTGCTCGAAGGTAATGTCAGTTTGGGTGCCTGTGTCTACCAGCTGCGACTCTGAGGCCGGCGTGAACATTTTGGTTCGAGGTGTCCTTCTCAACACCTGTACCACGATGGGCTCCTTGGCTGTCTTGAAAGCTTCCACGGCCTGGTCATGAGTTGCTCGGGATAAGTCTTTGCCGTTGACCTACCGAGACATATTTAGAATGGGAAGATCATCATAAAGCAGAAACTGGAGAGATCGGTTAGCGTCTTAAGGGCTTCTAGGTATAAAGAGCCAAGTGGAAGGAGAATGTTGGGGGTACCCGAGAACTTCAGTTCTCTCCATCGAGTAGGAGTCGAGGGGTACAGATCTGGCATTAAATAATAAAGCACACAGCAGGGATGCCTTGGCCTCCACCCAGAATGTCTTTAATGCAATTTCATCACTTGCTAATCTTCCCCATGGAAAAAAAGAGCAGCCTCGGGCTCCACGCCTGCATCTGGGAATGATAACTAACTAGAAATTAATTATGTTATTTTGTTTTTATGGTGTATAGTCTTCCCAGTGTGTGTCAAGTCTTTTTGTGTGGATGCGCGCGTGCGCGCACACACACACACACACACACACACACACACTTAGATCTTAGGACTCATACACACACACACTCTCTTAGGACTAATGCTCACACACATACATGAACATACTTAAATATCTGAATTAATGCAGCAGGCAGACTGGTCACCCATCCATCACTTCTGTGTATCCTCTGCTAAGGGATTTCACACTGGTCTCCCTTCCCATCTGATCAGGGGTCTTACCATCACAGGGGCACCTGAGCTGTGTGTTCTGACTGACTGGTCTTAGTCCACCATAGTGGTTTTGAATTTTCCGTCTAATGATGGAGAGGCCCGAGACTTAGAGGAGGAATCTGCCAGGATTTATTTTTTTTAAATAGATGTGAAATAGGGATGGCCCTTCTTGGATTCTACGGAAGCCATTTTGCCTGTGGTGGTCTCCTAAAACCATGTGTAGAACTAACTAGTGAGGCCAACTTAATATGTGAACCATGGCGGAAAAATAGGGACAACAATCCATTCTGCTGATATAGTCCCTAGATTTTAAGGTGTTTGATTTGGATCTTAAATTTTTATAGTCCAAAAACATAAACAGGTTTATATTAAACATAACAGGTATAATATGCTCGTGCATACTGTAGAAGTAGACATAAGCGTTTTCCAATGCTTTCTTAGGATGGTCTTCTATCTACATAGAAAACCTCTGTGGACACATGTACTCAAGGGCTACATCTCCAGCAGCTTATTGCTACAGAACAATGGCGAGAAGGCTTTACTTACATAAATTCCATAAACCTGTGCTGGAACCACCATGTGAACATTCACACAACACCCAAAAAGGGCTACATGAAGGGCCTTGCAGTTCAGCATAAACTAAGAATTCCCCATATCTTGATGGACTCAATGTGGAGTCTTCTGAATTTAACTGTGGGGGCACCCGTCACATCTCTTCTACTCAGCTATGGAGAAAAAGAGTGGTCCAGAGCTGTCTGAGAAATGCATATCCTTCTATGAAACACGGAATGTCACTATTGCGTAAGGCTGGCTTTCACTAAAAGGGATATCTGACGTCAGTGCCTAATGGTACAGTATTCAAAGTGCCCTGTGGTTTCCAACCAAACACAGTTCAAGTTCACACCTACAAAAGCCCGTGATTCTTCTCTTACATCTAAGGATTGGATGACCAGAGACATAACTGTGGGGTCAGGCCAGCGGTGGCATCCTGGCTGAGAGTTTGGGATCTATTTTCTTATTGGAGGAAGATTTAATTACAACGTGATGATCCTTTGGATTATTATGAAGTTTAAGATAATATACATAATAGTGTAACATGCCGATGTAAAAATGTATTAAGATACCAGTGCTGAAGGTCAGTCTATACCACAATAGTCCCTTTCCCAGGAGAAAACATCCACAAACCACAATCATCGGGCTTCAGCCTGGGGAGGTTGCCTTGAGAGGCATTTGTTTACTGAAAGGCTTCTAGCTTCCTGCCCATCTTGTGTTCCTAAACTAACAATATATGCATAAATCATTTCAAGCTTCAACTTGGGATTCTCAGGGATGAGGAGTGGGGGCGGCAACGGATAAATTTCAGAGGACTTGACCCCTGCCACGCAAGCTTCTTGACAAGGTATTTTCAGCATCATTACATTCCTTTAGGAGACGACGAGACAAGGCGGGAGTTTACTATCCTAGACGATCTGTTTTTGCAGCCAAATTTGTTTTGAATTACCTCGTGCACATAACACTTATTACTCTGTCATCTTGCAATCACATCGCTGAGAGACTTAGCGAGGTGATGACTCTGGCGCATGCTGGCAGCCAACCGAGAATGACAACCTTTATTCTCAGGATTAGCATGGCATCTACATTACACACAACGGTGCTGATGATGGCTGCGATTAGGGATGGGACGCACACCCAGTGACGTTTGGCCCAGTCAAATTAAATATCATTAACTCGCCCAATTGAGCAGATTGCCTTTAAAACACTTTATGCAGCTCTAAAACCAAGTAAATGGAATGTTTTGGAACAAGAAATGCTGATTGCAAAGTTTATATTTATTATAAATTAAATGCCTAAGTTATTCACCTAAGGCTCTGGATGGTTCTCCCACCCCCACACCCCCAAGGAATGAGGGACAATTATGGAAAAAAATCCAATCACTGAGTCTCCGGGCAAACAGCACCACTGAAAATATGAGATGACACTAAGGAACCTTAAGGAGATCCTTCAGCGTAAGTTCTTCTGTGACAAGAGACAGATAGGCAGAGTGCATAGAAGGATTCCTTCCTGGCTCTGAGGAAGCCTAGGTAAAGCTACTGCTCTTATAAGGATGTACTTGTGGCTGTCATTTCTATAGTTTGTCATGACAACAATACAAAATTGGCGGGTTGTCCACTGGGGGCTGAAGTTCACTGACAGCCCATCTATCTTTAGTCATCTGCTCAATCAACTTGCATTGGCTGGGCTTATTTGTCTTTTGGTTGTCTGAATGCCACTGGATGTGTTTCGTAGGGAGCATAAAACAACAGTACGTAGTAACCACTTCAGAAACGGCCAGAAGACTGCACGGCAGATGGCATTTCAGTAAGACAATCCAGGAATGGTTTGATTTAGCTCTGGAGACCACAAATCCCAGAGACTTAGGACAATTGCTTCCCCAATACACAGACTGTCACAAGAAATACTACTGCCTACTGCGGTCACACGGTGTTATCTCAACATCTAGGAGTGAGCCAGAGAGGTGGCTCAGCATGTAAAAGTACCAGGTGTGCAAGTCTCGTGACCCAAGTTTGATCCCCAGTACCCATGTTTTTTTTTTTTTTTAAATAAAAACTCAAAAAGCCACATGTGGTACCATGCATATGTAATTCAAGGAATCCTATGGTCAGAGTGGAGGTGGAGGCGAGACTTGCTTGCCTGGAGTATGCAGCATAGCAATCGGAGTGAGCGAGGAGATCCTGATCAACAAGGTGGAAAGTGACAACCCTGAACACTAGCCTCTGACTTCCACACCTGTGCCATGGCAAGCACGTGCCTGCCTTTCCACACAGACAAAGTGAATAAAGAAAGTTAAAAACAAAACCCAGGAACCTAGGTTTGCAGCTTTCAGCGTTTGCTGCAACTGAAACGTAACACAAATAAAAGACATGCCCTAGCCTCTTGAACTTAGAAAATATCTACGTATGGGGAGTCATTTGGTTTCCAGAGCCTATCACAATCACCTCTATTTCTATGACACATGGAAATAACCCCAGCGTAAAATGCTAATGCAGTTTTAAAGCGGAACTGCTATAAATTGTGCCCCTGGCTAAAATCCAACTTTTATAGGGATCATTTAATTAAATACAGGGGCACTGGTTCCATTTTATAAAATATCATACCTCTGTTGTCAAACTAATTAAAACTTTGATTCCACTGAATCAAGAGGTGATAATAAACCACACGGTGGGGGAGAGAGGTAAAGGTTTCAGGCCCTGGCTTAGGCTGGATAATTTTTTTTTTTAAATTCAGGAAACTTCTATGTGTCATAATTTATTTTAAATTTATGATCTGCTTCAGGGTGCAAGGAGTAGAAGGCGACTTCTCTAAAATGTAGGCGTTATGGCTGTTAAGAAAAAATATGTACCTTGACGAACAAATGGTGTTTAAAGATCATGCTGCTGTGAACGGCACTACCCTTTAAAGTCACACATACACACAGACAGACACACAGACATATAGACACACTCACCGACACACGGACATATAGATAGACATACAGACACACACAGACATACATAGACACACAGACAGACACACAGAGACATATAGACACACACACAGAATAGACACACAGACAGAAAGACAGACAGACACACACACACCCTTAGACTACACTTACATAGATCTGGGTTCCTATGTAGTAACCACTTGAACCTACATGGTTAGTCTGGACTCTAACAGACAGTGTCCTTGGGAGTTTCTAAACTTGTCTTAGGAGTATCCTCACCTGCAAAATCCCCCCTTATTCCTTCCCAGTGTCCTCTACCACTGAATTTGTGGCCTGAGTAAACTTTTTATGTGATATTGGGGTTCAAACTAGGGGCATGCACATAGTCAGCCCAGGAAGTGCCCTGTCTTTGAGCTCCTTTCCGAGGAGCTCATTTTCTTCTTTTAAGGGACAAGGTGGGGTCATTCAGGTAAAGAAAAGCTAGCTCTCCATATACCCGCAATGGAAATAACAACACCAGATCCTCTGCTCTGCGTGACTACTGCTTCTGGCTGAGCAGTGGCAGCGTGCTTGGCCAGGAGGGGAATCGGAGAGGCTGGGATTACCAGCAGAACAGGACAGAAGGGCTGGCAAGGCTTTCACTTTGGGCCAAGTTCAAGATAGACATCAAAAGCATTTATTAGGTGCTAACAAAACAAACAAACAAACCAGAAACAAACAACCAAACAATCTAGGACCCTACACTTGTTATGAAAGGGCCCTGCGACCTCTCTAGTCTTGGGGATTTTGAGAAAGTCTTGCTACATTGGCCCAAATGGCCATGAGTTCTTGATCTTCCAAGTGCTGAGATTAGCCGAGCTTTGGTGTTTTTAAAGTCAACATTACTGGCTTTACATCTAACTGTGAACGCA